GCCAATACAGTGATATTGTCCTCATGGGCTGTAAATTTGTATCATAATGTACAGACATTATATTAGGATCATATTAATGTATGAATACCTGGGCTTTAAGTATGGATCTGTTGAGAGTTGTGTAGTTAAGTTATGTGGTTTAACAACTAGAGTCAGCTCTATTGTAAATGTATAGCTTGTTTTATTGTGCTTTGCAGATATTATGTTTTTTTTAATTGAAGGTTTATGGCAACTCTGTGTTGAGCAAGTCTTTCAGCACCATTTTCCCACTGTGCTCACCTTGTGTCCCTGTGTAACTTTGTTGTAATTGTTGTAGTATTTTAAGCTTTCTCATTATTATATCTATTGTTATGATCTATCTGTGAACAGTGATTTTTTTTTAATAATGAGATAGTGTCTCACTCTGCTGCTCAGGCTAGATTATGGTAACACAATCATATTTCACTACAACTTTGAACTCCTGGGCTCAGACGATCCTCCTGCCTCAGCTTCCTGAGTAGCTTGGACTACAGTGCGTGCTACTATACTCAGCTAGTTAAAAACATTTTTTTTGTAGAGACAGCGTCTGGCTATGTTGCTCAGGCTGGTCTCCAACTCCTGGACTCTGGCAGTCCTCCTGGCCTCCCAAATGGTAGGGTTACAGGCATGAGCCCCTGTGCCTGGCCATTCAGTGATTTTTGATGCCACTCTTGTAATTGCTTTGGGACACCAAGAACTGTATCCATGCAAGATGGAGAACTTAATAAATGTTGTATGTTTTGACTGCTTCATGACTGGTCCTTCCTCTGTCCGCTATTTCCTAGATACAACATTGTGAAATTAATCCAATTCATAAATCTATAATGGCTTCTAAGTGTTCAAGTGGAAGGAACAGTCGCATGTTTTTCACTTGAAATCAAAGAAATGATTAAGCTTAATGAGGAGGGTGTGTTGAAGCCAGGGGAAAAGTTAGGTTTCCTGCACCAACAGTTAGCCAAATTATGAATGTAAGGGAAAGGTTCTTGAAGGAAATTTAAAGTGCTACTTCGGTGAATACATGAATGATAAGAAAGCAGAAGCCTTAATTGTTGATATGGAGCAAATGTGAGTCATCTAAATGGAAGATCAAATCGCTACAACATTCACTTCAAACAAAACCTAATACAGAGCAAGCCTTCAATTCTGTGAAGGCCAAGAGAGGTAGAGCTAAGGAAGCTGCAGAAGAAGAGTTGGAAGCTAACAGACATTGGTTTATATGGTTTTAGAAAGGAGGCTATCTTTATGACATAAAAGTGAAGCAGCAATTGCTGATGTAGAAGTTGCATCAAGTTATTCAGAAGATCTAACTAAGATGATTGATGAGTGAGGCTATGCTAAGCATCAGAGTTTCAATGTAGACAAAACATCCTTCTATTGGGAAAAGATGCCATCTAGAATTTACATAGCTACAGAGAAGTCAATGCCTGGCTTCAAAGCTTCAAAAGACAGGCTGACTCTTGTTAGGGTCTAATGCAGTTAGTGACTTGAAGTTGAAGCCGTTGCTCATTTACCATTCTAAAAATCCTAGGGCCCTCCAGAATTATGCTAGAGTACTCTGCCTGTGCTCTATAAATCAAGCCTGGATGACAGGACGTCTATTGACAGAATGGTTTACTGAATATTTTAAGCCAACTGTTGAGGCCTACTGCTTAGAAAAATATTTATTTCAAAATCTCACTGCTCTTCAACAATGCACCTAGTCACCCAAGTGCTCTGATGGAAATCTACAAGGAGATGGATGTTGTTTTCATGTCTGTTAACACAGCATCCGTTCTGCAGCCAATGGATCAAAGAGTAAATTTAACTTTTAAGTCTTATTATTTAAAAAATATATTTCATAAGTCTGTAGCTGCCATAGATAGTAATTTCTCTGATGGAAGGTGGGCAAAGTCAATTGAAAGCCTTATGAAAAGAATTTACCATTCTAGATGTCATTAAGAACATTTGTGATTCATGGGAGTGCGTCAAATACTAACCTGAACAGGAGTTTGGAAGAAGTTGATTGCAACCCTTATGGATGACTTTAGAGGTGAGTTCAAGACTGCAGTGGAGAAAGTAGCTACAAATTTGGTAGAAATAGCAAGAAAACTAGAATTAGAAGGAGAGCTTGATGATATGACTGAATTACAACAATTTTATGATGAAACATTAGTGGATGAGGAGTAGCTTCTTACGAATGAACAAAGAAAGGTGTTTCTTGAGATGGGATTTACTCCTGGTGAAGATGCTGTGAGCATTGTTCAGATGACAACAAAAGATTAGACTATTGCATAAACTTAGTTGATAAAGCAGAGGTAGGGTTTGAGAGGATTGACTTCAGATTTGTTCTGTTGTGGGTAGAATGCTATCAAACAACATTATATGCTACAGATAAATCTATTGTCTTAAGAGACCACCGATGTGGCAAACTTCTTTTTGTCTTATTTTTTAAATTGCCACAGCCACCCCAACCTTCAGCAGCTACCACCCTGATCAGTCAGCAGCCATCAACATTGAGACAAGACCCTTCACCAGCAAGAAGATTACAACTTACTGAAGGCTCGGATGAGTGTCAGTATTTTTTTTAGCAGTAAAGTATTTTTTAATCCAGATGTGTACATGGACATTGTTTTATTTTTAGACATAATGCTCTTCCACAGTTAATAGACCGCAGTATAAACAACTTTTGTATTCACTGTGAATCACTGGTGTGATTCACTTTATTGTGATACTCGCTTTATTGCCGTTGTCTGGAATTGAACCCACACAACCTCCGGAGTATGCCTGTATAGAAAGAATCTTAACAAGACGTATTCTAAATACTTTTCAAGTGCTAGCTTACTTAATCCTTGTAACAACCTGAGGAGTTTATTTTATGGTTTTCTCTATTTTCCAAAGACATTGGGACATTAAGTATCTTGTCCAAGGTCAGCCACTAGTAAGTGGTAGAATCTGGACTTGAATTCATTTGGTCTGACACTGGAGCCTGTACTCTTTAAATCACCATGGTAGTCTTTCTGCTTCAGCAATGAGTGGACTTTGTTTTTTTTGTGTGTGGGGGGGTTGACCTGTGACCTTCCTTGCTTGTTTCCTGATTTCTATATCTTGAAACCACTATATTTCATCCATCTTTTCATTCAGCAGATATTTATTGAGAATCCATTATGTGGTGCTGAGGGCTAGCAGTATCTATGTGGACCATTATATGTTACAACTTAGGTGCTCAACAGTCATTGAATTTTGTAGCTTAATGTCTAGGAGGGAAGATAGGTATAACCAAGGGAAACTCACTGGGGAAAGAGGCAGGGATGGGGAAGCAGGGGTGCAAATAACTCTCTAAAACTTGGAACTGAGAGGTTTAAGAGATTTAGCCAGGTTGGGCAGGGGGTGTAAGAAGCAGAGGGTGGTATTCCAGTTAGGGGTAGCAGCCAAGTTCAGAAACTAGAGATCAGAAGCTGTGGAAAGAGTTCGGAGAACTGAAGTAGGTTTAATGTGGCAGAAGCACTCAGTGTTTTGAATTAGGAGTGGGGATGATGAAGGGTGTAAACAGTATTAAAGTGTTCTAAGATCAGGCAGAAGAGCAAAATAACTGATTAACTTTACACTTTGGTCAGTTGGATATATTTATCGTAATCTCTAGGAGAATAAAAGCCTAAAAGCAGAGTGTATAACATCTAAACTTGTGTGTGTATGAAGGAAGAGAGGTAATAATACGAACCAAACCCAATCAAAAGGAGGCAAGAAAAGAGAGAAAGATAAAATAGATGAGATGAATAGCACAAATAAGATGGTAGATGTAAACTCTAATGTGTTTGTAAGTATATTAAATGTGTATGTTCCAAATGTGCCAATTAAAAGATAAAGACTGATAAAACCCAGCCAACCAGCCAACCAACCAACCAACCAAGCTGGATGCTACTTTCACCTGACAGAGAGGGAATACCTCTAGGAGATGAGAAATGACAAGAGGTGACAATGAGATAAGCTACCTCCATCTCCTTCACTGTCTGTCTACCGCAGAAGCCACCACATTCTTAGGAAAGCCACTGGACTTCCCACTGTAAGTGCAGTGCAGGTGGTCCTGGGAGGTTAGCAGGGTCTGGGTTACTCAGGTGTGGCTTTTCTACCAGCTTGTGAGCAACTTTTTGGCAGAGGTGGAGTCTCCCTCACATCCCTTGTACTTTCTGCAGTATTTGGCATGCAAGTAGGCCTTTAAGTAGCATTTATCATGTGTGTGCATTTGATTTTCACGTTAAGATTGTAAACTCTTTGCAGGCAGGGAAACTGTTATACCTTTGAGTTTTTCCTAATATCTGCTAAAACATAGATCAGTGTATAATGAGTGATTCTTATTTAATTCTCTCAAGATTAAATCTGATTTCTATATAAGGATACTGTTCCACCTCTCAGTGATTTGGAGATTTGTTTCCACAGCAGAGAAGAAACAAAAACTATTTTCTGCAATAAGAACCTGATAACCTACTTTTGCATAAGTAGATTTTACAGTAGAAGAGTATATTCTTTTTTCTTTTCTTTCTTTTAGTTGTAGCGAGAATTTCTGTTAAACTTCACTCACTGGGCCAGAGACTGTTCTGGCTTTAGTGAAAAACTTGTCCCTTGCGTAGCACACTATCTACACTTGTGGGTTCATTGGCCAGTCAGTGGCCTCAACTCTGAGCTCTAACAAGAATATATTCTTTTTTATTTTAAAGAACATGATGTATTTACTATCAAAATAAGTGCTTCACTCATGTATAAGCTGTACTAAGATATTGGTAGTAAAATAATAAAAATATTTTTCTTGGAAGAACTATTGTATAGACCATATCGAAACAGCAATTTATTTTTTTGGAATGAAAGATACTATTGATGCTGTTAATCCAAATGCCAAAGGTTCTCTAGTTGAGTAAGAATGTGCTGCCTAAGAGAAAACTCAGTTGGCGTCATGTAAGAGCCGCTCATTATGAATAGAAAGAAATTACATAATCCAAAGTCAAAGCAAGTCATTCTGTTTTTAATTACAGTGTATAAAAATTAAAACATGGACCCAGGGTCTAACTGGATATACTTCTTGGCAATAGATATTTTGGAAGCATGCAGTGAAAAATACAATAAAGTTGGCTATGTGCTGACCACCCCCCAGTATCCTGGCGGTTTCCCATTTAGTAATTGTATTCAGCTATTGTGAAATCACAGAATTTTAAAGCAGAAAAAGATCTCAGAAGTCTTTTTGTAGCTATTCATCCTCCAGATGAGAAAATAAGCCCATAGTGGTGAAGGGATTATACTGAGGTCATATAGCAAACTCCAGAAGGAATGTAGGCATCTGGACTCCTGTCTGGCTTTCTTTGAGACTGAACTGCTTCACTGCCACCTGGAAGCTCTTCTGTGGTTGTGGCCTCTTGCTGGCCTTAGTGTAGTGATAAGGGGTTGGGTATGAGGGTTGAGGGTGGGAGAGAGGAAGGGAGAGGGGTTGAAAGAGAGATGAGTTATTGTCATTGAGAAGGATTGAGAGATGGAGACACAGAGAAGATGATAAAGAAGTATGTCTGCTTTGCTCTTTCTTAGAAGTGGTACCAGTAAAGCAGTACTCCGAAGCAGTGTCAGCCTGAATGTTGAGGTGTGAGAACATTCTATACCTGTCGCTCGCTCCTCCATTCCTGCACTGTAAATCCCATCTTGAGGTTACTGTGTCTGTGCTTGTTGCCTGTAGTCCAGTCCAACTGTAGACGTAGCTGTCTCAGGTTATGGAGAGATGTTAAGCAGAGAAGAGGCAAATTGGAATGTGCATGTTTTATAATCTCTTAATTTTCAGATTTTTTGCATCTTAGCAAAAGGATTTCCTGAGTATAACCTCATGTTTCCTTTTCTACTTGCAAATCTGAACAAAATCCTGTGACCTTTCTTGCTTACTCAGAGCTGGACATTTTAAGATAAGTCAATGCAAACTGATTTTCAGAAAGTATTTTGAATGCTTCAGTTATATTTCCCAGTTCACTCAGAGTCTGTTATGGATTTGCTTCTGTGAAAAAGTGTTGAAACCCAGCGTGTGGACGTGCAGTGTTGCTTTTAGCCTTGCCAGCGGTGCTCTCTGGACTTTTCAGCAAGCTTCAGCTCTGAGCTGTGCTACCTCCTTTGGCTCCTGTTGCGATTACCTGGGGCCAGATTCTGGCTTTTAAATCCCTCCCGGGTCAGGTGGGAGCCTGGCCCAATGGAGAATGGCAGTCTTAGCTACTGATGATCAGTTGCTGTTTTCCTTGCTAGTGTCATGATATCGAACATACGGGTTCTCAGTAAAACATGTACTGTTTACTTGTTTTTACTAAAGTCCATCTCTGGTGACATCATTGGAAGCCTCTCAGTTTAACCTCTTCCTTTGTAGTTTCTATGGTAGGAAATAAATTATGGCAGTTAAAATCTTATTGCTTAAGTAATGTGTGTTGATTTTAGGAAAATCAGAAAATAGGGTTAAGTAAAAAGAAGAAAATATAAATAATTTAGAATCTATCTCCCAGAGAGACAACTGGTAACATTTTGGTGCATAGCCAAATGTTTAATGTGCATTTATTTACATAACATTAACTATATTTTAATAAAAATGACTTCGGGCTGTGTGTACTGTTTTGCACTAATATTTCTCATATGACATGTTTATACATCTCTCATACCAGTAAATACAATTTTGTATTTTCAAAAAACAAATCTCTCTTACTATCTTTTTAAATACAGATAAGTATAAAGAAAATATGAAGGCTCATTATCTCTCAATCCATGTGACATGTTAAAACGATTAGTAATAAAGCAAGTAACATTAGTTGGTTGCTGACTACATGCCAGGGGGACTATTTTATCTGTTAGCTCCTTTAATCCCCAGAAAAGCCTTAAGAAGTAGTTGCTATTATTAATCCTGTTCTACAGATGAGGATACTGGGCTAAGTATTTAAGACAATTCCCAAAGTCATACAGCTAATAGGAAATGAGCTCGAATACTTTGGCTCAAGAGCCCATTTCTTTTCCTTTTTTTTTTTTTTTTTTTTTTTAGGTGGGGTGTTGCTCTGTTGCCTAGGCTGGTGTATGGTGGCGCAATCTTGGCTCACTGCAACCTCTCCCTTCTAGGTTCAAGCGATTCTCTTGCCCCAGCCTCCTGAGGAGCTGGGGTTATAGGCATGTACCACCACACCTAGCTAATTTTTGTATTTTTAGTTGAAATGGCATTTCACCATGTTGGCTAGCCTGGTCTTGAACTCCTGACCTCAAGTGATCCACCCATCATTTGTTAACCACACACATACTGTTAGACTTAAAAAACAAAGTCAATAATCTTTCTTGATTTAAAAACAAATCTCCCTCTGCAGCATGTATAGAACTACCTCATTCTCTGTAACAGCCACAGAGATGTCCATTGTATACTTTCATTTAACTATCCCCTTCACTACTGATGGACAATTTGGTTGTTTCAGATGTATTTGCAGTTAGAAGCAATGCAGCAATATTTTTATACTAATGTTACTGTTTATTGAGTGATAAAATCAGTTAATATGGGTAAATGCATAGAACAGTGCCTGCTACATAGTAAGATCAGTGATTTCTATTGTTGTTGATAATACTATGTGCCATGCATTATGCTAGAACTTAATTCTCAAAATATCCCTATGAGGTAGATACTGTTATCCCTGTTTTATGCTGGAAGACATTAAGAAAGACAATGAGTTTAAATAGTTCTTGTGTCATGTAGTAAGTGAAATCTGTGATGTGAACCCTTTTGGAGCTTGTGGTCTTGACTACTCCTCTTTACATATACCCTGCTTCAAGGGTGTCAGAAATGGAGGCAGCCCTGGTAGCGGCAAATGGTAATGTCCACATGCGCTCCCACCACGAGGATATGAAATTGCCTGTGTCAATATCCCTTTCTAGTCCTGGATATCACAGATGCTACAGTTTTTAATTGGTGAAAAATAGTGTTTGAATATAATCTGTAATTTAATAATAAGGTTGCACAATGTATCTTTATGGGGCATTTGTATTTCTTTTTTTGTAAACTGCCTTTGTTCATGGTTTTATTGGATAGTTTTATTTTTAATGATTTTTATGAACTCTCTGTAAAATAGAGAAATTAGCTTTTGAACTCTCATATGCATTGCAAATGTCTTTCTAATATAAGCATTTTAATGATTATATTTTACATTTTATGGTGGTATTATAGTTTATGTGAATGGTGGGACTTTCATTCTTTCCAGTCTTTCATTACAATGCTGTCAAGAACATCCACTTATTATTTTCTTAGGAAATTTCTTAGAAGAGTAAATGGTGTATGGAAGGGAATATACATTTTTAAAAACATTGGTCCATATTTTCTGTCTCTCTCAAAGGACGACAAAAGTACATTGACCATCAGGGTATGACAGGGTGCCTATTTCTCAATTAGCCAATTATATTACATGATATTATTTAAATATCAAGGCCAATTATAGTTTTTTGATTATGAGTTAAGATTGAAACATTTTCCATTTTATTTGCAGTTAGTATTTTTTCCTTTGTGAATTGCCTGTTCATTCCTTAAGAAGGATTTTGACTATATGTGCATTTTTTTTTCCGGAGGAATATATGTACAATTTTTAAAATTTTATAAAATCAGTTATTTAACAGTGGAATGAGCTTTCCCAACACTGATGGTATTAGAGCAGAAGTTAAGATACTGAAACTGTTTAGGGAAAAGAATGAATGTTTATTAATTTACTATCATAAGTCTTTTACTCTTTCTGTTTTAATCTTATAAAGAACAAGGGACTTAAGCCAGTGACTTACCTATAGTTCCATAGTTGTAAATGGCAGAAATAGGCTACAAACCTGTGCCTGACCTTTAGCACATTCCTTCTATAGCCTTCTACGCCTGAACCATACATAATCACATTAGTAGTAAGTTAGCTGGTTGAAACCTATGGTACATATTGGCAAAAAAAAAAAAAAAAGAAAGAAAGAAAAAAAATTCAGAAAATGTCTATCTAGAAATATTTTGTGCATTTCAGAAACTCGGTGTTCTTTTATTTTTATTTTTATTTTCGGCAACTGTTTCATTAAGTACTCTGCTATATTAGGGACATAGAAAACAGGTGGGGACTAGGCCAAGACCTTTTCCTCTTCCCCACCCTTCCAATTCTTGTCCCTTTTTAAAGCTTTGCTTCCCACCTGCCACCCAGCAGGCCTCAGCACTGCAGGGAGTGAAACCTCTGCCATCTCTTGTTCTCTCCTCACTGCTGTGTTTCTCTTCACACTCTGGTACTTAGAATGTTGCTTTTTCTATTTCTTCAATGCCATGGCAACAGTACATAGTAACTGCTTTCCTTCTGGTCAAGGAAAAAGATTTTGTACTTTTCTTTCCCTTTGACCTGTTTGTTTTTTGTTTTTTTGTGTGTGTGTTTGTTTGTTTTGAGACGGAGTTTCACTCTTGTTACCCAGGCTGGAGTGCAATGGCATGATCTCGGCTCACTGCAACCTCCGCCTCCTGGGTTCAAGCAATTCTCCTGCCTCAGCCTCCCAAGTAGCTGGGACTACAGGTGCGCGCCACCATGCCCAGCTAATTTTTGTATTTTTAGTAGAGACGGGGTTTCACCTTGTTGACCAGGATGGTCTCGATCTCTTGACTTCGTGATCCACCCGCCTCGGCCTCCCAAAGTGCTGAGATTATAGGCATGAGCCACCGCTCCCGGCCCTTTTGACCTGTTTGTAATTAACACTGTGGTCCACCCTTTCCTCCAATGAAAAGCAAGGAGGTACTAAACTGTAGTCAAGACTGCAGGACCTGCTGGATGTATAGCTAGCGAGTCTTCTGCGCTCCTTTGCAGCAGTTTAAACCCAAGCCCATCCTGATCATTGGTTCTGAAACAGCAGTGATTATATCCTCCATCCCTGTTTCTCTGCCCCATCACTGTCTTTTTCTTTTTTTTTGACTGGGTATGTTATATTGGAGGTTGGTTCCTTCAGTCTCCCTCCACTAGAATGTAGAGTCCAGAGGAATGGGGTTTCCTTTTGCACATTGCCCTGTGTGTTCCCTGGGACTAGCACGTAGTGGGGTCCATAGTTCTTGCCAAATGGCCACAGGACTTGGTTGTGGAAAGCCTAATTTCCTTTCATAGGATTTGCTCTCCTTGTATCTTTTTCTCGCTTAAAGGTAGTGTTTAGATTATATGTGGCCCTCTCTGGGAAGTGTGGTCAGCTTCAGAGGATTTTTTTTTTTTTTTTTTTTGAGGCAGAGTCTCACTCTGTTGCCCAGGCTGGAGTGCAGTGGCGCAATCTTGGCTCACTGCAACCTATGCCTCCTGGGTTCAAGCGATTCTTCTGCATGGGCCACCATGCCTGGCTATTTTTTGTGTTTTTAGTAGAGACAGGGTTTTGCCATATTGGCCAGGCTGTTCTCAAACTCCTGACCTCGTGATCTGTCCACCTTGGCCTCCCAAAGTGCTGGGATTACAGGCGTGAGCCACCTCACCCGGCCAGCTTCAGAGGATTTTGAAGTCCATCAGATCCCAGGGCCTGAGACAAGTCAGAGCCTAGCTGGAGTGGATTATAATTGACATAAAAGATTTGCATTTGAAATAACTCAGAGGTTGGTTTGAATCCTGTTCCCCATGTTTTTAGTTCCTGTCTGAGTTTAAGGAAGGCTTTTTGAACCTGTTTCCTTATCTGTAACGGGCATAATAATGCCTACCTCAGCTTGAAGTGAAGATGAACTCTGACAATATATGGAAACAACTGGTACATAGAAAAATGAGTGATGGTGGTATTATGGTTATTAGTATTTTAGTTTTCTTCTGTGTGACTTTCTATTGGTAAATGGAGTTATTTCCTCATTTGTATTATAGGCTACACAATGTAATGGTTAAAAGCTGGATCTGGTGGCTTTGGAGTTTGATGGACTGGGATCCTGTCCTTCTGCCCCTTAACAGCAATGTGACATTGTGCAAGAGCAAGCCTCCATTTGTAAAGACAAATAAATGGCCATAATATTAGTATATGCCTCAGACTGGACAGAAAGATTTGATCAGCACAAAGTTTGCTTCATACTAAGTCCTTAGTAACTCATATTGTATAGTTTAATAATAACAGCAGAATAAAGGAAGCTTAAACTTCATCTAACTCTTCAACTCTAGTTCTCCCATTTGATTTCTAATTCTGCCTTGTAGTTCAATCAAGATCAAATTGATAGCCTTTTCAGATAGTCTTTCATATATATAGGACTGAGTCCTGTTATGAACTGACTTGTGTCTCCCTAAAATTCACACATTCAAGTCCTAACCTGTAGTGTGCTGACTGTATTTGGAGGAAGGGCCTTTGAGGAGGTAATTAAGGTTAAATGGGATCATAAGGGTGGGCTCCTAATCCAATAGG